ACCACGATGTGCCAGGCCCCAGGTACAGTTAATTCTCACGGCAACCCAGAAGCTGGGATTGATGTTTCTGCTCACTGTGGACAAGAAACTAAATCTGAGATATTTGCCAAAGAAAGCGGCCTTAGCTGGTGAGTGGAAGAGAATAGAATCGGGCCTGGAGAGATCGTATAGCCAGTAAGACACTTGCCTAATGCAGTCCACCATGGTTTGTCCCCCAGAACCACACAGGGTTCTCCAAGCCCCGCCAGGAGTGATCCCTGAGCACTACTGAATCACTCCTCCCCCTGCCCCCAACACAAATGCACACTATACAACAGACCCGTCAGCCAAGTTCTCTATGAGTGGTGAGGGAGGGGCTGGTGCCTCTGGGTGGGTGTGGTGACTCAGACGCTGCAATAATCCCTGGAGATTAAAGAAGGCAGGAGCTCAACTCAAAACTGAGGCAGGGGCCAGAGAGACAGCAGAGCCACTAGGGCACCTTCCTTTCAGGCATCATAGATGTTCCCAAGCATCTCCAGGAGTGATTCCTGAGTGCAGTGCCAGGAGTAAACCCCGAGCATCACTAAAACTCAAACCCAAACAAAAAAAACCCCAAGGTAGCCTCCATTGTGTCTCCCCTCTCTCCCTCTGCTGCCCCACCATTCAAACCAGACATATCCATGCCCCACCTCCATTCTTTTTCTTTTTTTTTGCCTTTTTGGGTCATACCTGGCGATGCACAGGGGTTACTCCTGGCTCATGCACTCAGGAATTGCTCCTCAGGCGGTGCTCAGGGGACCATATGGGATGCTGGGAATGAACCCGGGTCAGCCGCGTGCAAGGCAAAGGTCCTACCCGCTATGCTATCACTCCAGCCCCAGCTCCATCCTTCTTAAAGGCGTCGACCACTTCCTCCATCCCAACCTCCATCAAAATGGCTATCACTTCCCAGGGCTCCTGGCTGATCCCTGGACTGACCTTTTAGTTCAGAAAGCCTCTCCGACATCTAAGCCTTCACCCCGGCAACCTCAGAAGTCAAAGGCACCACCCCCAAACAGAGCACAGCCACCCCACTCCTTCACCCACTCCCCAGCATCTTTAAGGCTTCTGCTGCATGGTCTGGCCTTTGCCTCCCCACTTCAACCACCTGTGATAACAGCACATTCCCCTACAGCTACACAGAAGAAACGAATGCCCACTATGGGCAGAAGGAATGAAGTCCAGGTATGAGAAATTATCCCTGCCACCCAATTTTGTGGAGAGTCGTGGAACTCAGGCTGGAGGGAGGAATTGTTCTTCACAGGAAAGGGAACTTGGTTCTAAATTTGCCCCGGTTTCAGGGCTGGAGCAATAGCACAGCGGGTAGGGCATTTGCCTTGCATGCAGCCGACCCGGGTTCGATTCCCAGCCTCCCATATGGTCCCCCAAGCACCGCCAGGAGTAATTCCTGAGTGCAGAGCCAGGAGTAACCCCTGAGTATTGCTGGGTGTGACCCAAAAGGCAAAAAAACAAAAACAAAAACAAAAAAAAATTAAATAAATTTGCCCCGGTTTTCCAGGTTGATTGCTTTCCCTCAGAAAAGAATTTCAGGGGAACCTGGGAATGCTGATGAAGGGACAGGGGTGAAGGGGTCGGTGATGGCACATTGTATGTCAAAAACCCAATGATGAACAACTGTGACTCATGGTGCTTAAATAAAATTTTTATAAAGAAAAGAATTTTGGGTAGGAAATAAATAGTAAAATAAGGTAAGTTTATTTCGGAAATGAGGAGAGGGAAAGTTTCATGTTCAATAGAGAGTTTCATGTTCTCCAAATTGGAGAGAGTCCAGAATGGATTTTGGAAGGAAGTAACATATGGATGTTTTCCATAATTGCCTTGGTCTGAAATTCTTTACACAAGTAGGAGTTAATCAGGCTTTTCCTGGGGGAAATCACTGGGCCTCTGCTGGTCCATTTCTGAGTTTGTTTGTTTAATTTTTGGGTCACACCTGGCGATGCACATCCTGGCTCACGCACTCAGGAATCACTCCTGGTGGTGCTCGGGGGACCATATGGGACGCTGGGAAACGAACCCGGGTCAGCAGCATGCAAGGCTAATGCCCTACCCGCTGTGCTATCGCTCCAGCCCCCACTCCTGAGTTCTTATTGCAGTCTTTCCCTCTGCTGTCCTGGCACCTCTTTCCCAATAGTCCCAGCCATCTCTTTTGGGGGTCCAGCCGTGCTCTGGGCCTGGAATTCTGAATCCAAAGGTTTTGTCTCGAAGGGTCTTTATCTCAAAGCTGGTTGAGGTTCCAGACAGCATTCTTTCCAATATACATCATCCAGAGCTTCCCAGCTCTCTGCCTGCAAGAAACCTGGTGTCTCTCCTGGCTGGTTTGCTGCAAAGGTATTGCTGCTGCAGCTCTAACCAGCTTCAGGTTCTCGTGGATGGTGAGTATGAATAGCATATTTATGTACAGAAGTACACCTCTGAGCTGATTCTCTGAAGGAATCAGCAGCAGCAGTAGAAGTCATTTCAGTAATAGTCCGCCAACAATAGCAACTACAATACCACCACAACCACAACTACAATAGCAACAGCAGACACACACACAACGGCCTGAGCGTGTGTTACTTCCTGTATCCCAGGCCCTTAGCCATTTCTGTCATCTGATTGGTTGTGGTTGAAAGAAGGATTTGTGGGTCCAATGAATTAAGATCATATATGTAAATGAATGAATGACACAAGAATTGCAAAAGTCAGGCATCTTGGTAATCTGCCCCCTCCCTCCCTCCTCACTTCCTGCCTAGCCACCTCTTTCTTTGTTAGTGCACAGCTCTCCTCCAATCAATCTTTCCCAAGTAGACAAAGACCTGCCAGTGAACCTAAGGAGGGTCCCTACTAGCAAATTTGCACTCCCTGTTCCCTCCAGGCTCTGGCACAGGATGGGAGCAGGCAAACCTGGGGCTGTCCCGTCCTGACAATCCCCCTCTGAGTCTTAAGGAGTCCAGAGCCCAATCGCATTTATGTGCAAATAGTTTAAAATGGTGACTTTCATCCTTTTAAGGTTTACAACCCCCCCACCCCTGCCCGGGGGGGGGGGGGGGGGGGGGCGGCTGGAGCGTTTGCCTTGCCAAGCGGCTAACCCTTGTTTCTATTCCCAGCATCCCATATGGTCCCCCGAGCACCGGAGGGAGTAATTCCTGAGTGCAAAGCTTGAAATAACCCCTTTGCATCTCCAGGTGTGACCCAAAAACAAAAACAAAAACAAACAAACAAAAAAAGTTTATTCCCCTGAAACTGAAAAGAAAGTCTTCCCTTATACTTAAACACGTATGTGTGTATGTATGAAGTTTCTCAGGTTAATGAGTTCTGGGGCGGTGGCTCAAAAAATTGAGCACATGGTTTGGACACAGGAGCCCTGGGTTCCATCCCTGGTGCCACTTGGTTCCCCCAGCACTGGCAGGAGCAAGCAATGCCCTGAAGCACCAAGTGAGCTCCCTAAACAAGCAAAAGCAGGTGAAAAAGAGAGCTAATTCCTACCCATTGGAGTCTGAAGGGTTTAGGAGCCAAGTAAAAGCTCTCCACATTTCCATAAAAACCCTGCATAAAAGCACAATACTTGTTTTCACTTGTCTGTTTTGAAATTATAGAGCTACGGTATCACACTAATGCAGTGTCCCTGGCCACGTGTGCCTACTTCAATGAACTAATTTAAATTCTTTTTAAAATAAAAATGTTTTATTTTTTTAACTGAATCATAGTGAGATACATAATTAACTAATTAAATTTAAGACACGAAATGTTGAGTTTCTCTTGGTGCTGCGGCTGCCATGCTGGGCAGCACGAAGTGACCAGCCTCATCATCACAGAAAGTTCCGTTGGGTAACACTCATCCCGAGATTTGTTTTGCAAGTCACCCATGACCAAAAAACATTAAGAGCCATCAAGTCAAGTCGGTGAAATTTCAGTTAAGAAGCCAGAAATTTTTTTGTGAAGTGACCAAAAGCTCATCACTATAGCAAAGCCTAAGAACAACTTCAGCCTGAATAAATATTTTGCCTCTAAAACCCAATTCTATCAGCAATGAAAGGAACCAGACTTTGTTTCATTTTTGTGTGTATATGTGTCCTCTCTCCCTGATGTTGGTGGACCCCACGGGTGACTTATGTGATGTGGAGAGGAGAAAGACGGTAACTTTCTCCCAATCTGCCTCTGCCACCTGGGACCCAGGGTTATCGCGTTCTTGTCTCACCTGGCAGAAAAGAACTTCAGGAGTGAAGTTAGGAATGAAGTTAATGAAGACAAGCAGTGAAGTTAGCAGATTTTATTTAGAGGTTTTTGAAGGAGAGGAGGAAGAGAAAGTGGGAGTGGAGAGTAACATGCTCAAGAGAGAACACAGGCTTCTTCAAGGGTGGAGAGAGCCCCTACACACATCCCAGCATTAGACATGAAAGCATGAAAGTGCACATCTCAAGAGGGAAGATGCAGGTGACACGTGTTCTCAGCCACAGGGGCGCAGGCAGCACATGGGCTCGGGCAGCTTACATGCTGCAAGGTGTTCTTATAGGGTTTTTCCAACCTGCCCCCATGTGGGGCTTACCTAGGTCAAAGTTCGTTGCTAAGGAGCTTGCTTAGTGGAGTAGGCCTGGGAGTGGTGATGGGCTTCTTTGAAATTTCTTTCTTGGACTTTTGTTCCTGCTATAGCTTCTGCTGGAGGGGGTCCAGCCTCCTCAGGCAACCGGTCTTATCAGGTCTTAGTTCCTGTTTTCTGCAAGGTTGTTCTTGCAACTTCAGAGCTACTACTTCCAGGAAATTTACTGCCATCGCCTTGAGAGGGGGCCTTCCCTACGTGCCTGCCTGCCTACATCATCCCCACATGCCTTCTTAGAGAAAGGCACGTGAATTCCAAATGCATTTGCTGTAAGAAAGGTGCTCTGAGTCTGCAGCGACTCAGTGCCCAGCTCCAGTCCCAGGAGAACAAGGAAAGACTTGCCAATGACCATGTATGTCTCCTTTGGTATTTTTGATCATTCTAGGTGGCTGAGGCGGTCCTGGAAAATGCCCAGCTCATGCTGCAGATGGAGAATACCCAGGCAGGCGCAGAGGACTTGAAAGAGAGGTAAGAGTTTGCAGGCTGGGGCTAGCCCTTCTGCACCCCAGGCTCCTGGGCTAATGGGTAAATGACAAAAATAACTCTAACTATGTATCTATTGACTCATGGAGGATTGGAGGGATACCTAGGGCCTTGCAGAACCCAGAGCTAAGATGAGCGGGACTAGACCCCCAACAGCTCAGTAATTTTTCCTAGAATCACTTGGCATGGAGTAGGGGTGAGCAAAGCTAAGAGGACACAGATTTCTGTACCCACCCTCAGAATTTCTGGTTCAGGAGGTGTGGGGTGAGAAGTTTCTATCCCTAACAAGTCCCAATGAACCGCTATGCTGCGGTCCTGGGCCCCATTTTTGTGGTTTTGAGCAACAGTTCTCAGACCTGGCTGCATGTCAGAGTCACCAAAATGCAGTGTGCAACCACAAGCACGAATGCGGGGGCTGGCCCCAGATTCAGTGTTTCTGAAGATCGCTGGGAGATCTTGCTGAGCATCCAGTGTTGAGATCTACTTCCTGCCTGGTCTCAGTACAATGCTTCCCCCAAAGTGTACATGGCTACTAGAACTTTCTAAATGGCATAAGAATAAATATTTTGTTTTTAATAGCTATTTATTTATTGGGGTTTTTTGGGAGGGAAGGGAGAGGAGGGCGAGTCACACCTGGTGGTGTTCAGGGCTTACTCCTGGCTATGCTCAGGGGACCATAAGCAGGGACAGATCGAACGAGGGTTGGCCACATAAAAGCAAAGCGTTAGAATACATGTTTTGCAAGCAGGAATCCTAGGTTCAACCCCCAGCGCCCATAGTTCCACGAAGACCACTGGGAACAACCCTTGAGCACCACGGGATGTCCCACCCCAAACAGGAACCTCAATAACACCTGGGCTCCTGGAGAACTTCCCCATCCTGCTCTGTTGCCAGTGCCCCAGGAGGCTGAGACCCTGCTCACCATGTTATTGGAAGTCTCGCTCTCATTTTACAAAATGTGTAACAGTTGCACCACCTGTGCTCTCAAAGCTGTTAACAGTGACCTTTCACATCCATTGTCTAACTGCCACATAATTGACCTGTTGGTACATTAAACAGCAGGGTTTTTTTTTCTTTCCGATTGCCAGCTCTGCTGATTAAGTTCCTTTATTTGCAGATATGAAAGGGAGCAATCATTTCGAAAATCAGCAGAAGAGGAAATTAGCTCTCTGTATAAAGTCATTGATGAAGCTAATTTGACAAAAATGGATCTGGAGAGTCAAATAGAAAGCCTGAAAGAAGACCTTGACAATCTGTCTAGGAGCTATGAAGAGGTAGGCGGGCTTGGGTGGCTCTGGATGGCCTGCAGGCCCAGAGGCCCTCAACTGTCAGCGCTGCGATGCCCCTTCTTAGCCTCTGCATAGTCCTTGTCACAAGGGAAATACAGTGAAATCCTTCCAAGACTGGGTAGGGGAATCTGGTTACCCCAGAGTCTCAGTCAATTGGCATTAGGACCCTAGATGGGACCCTAGGTGTCAACTGACACCTAGATGGGAAGAGGTCCCAAGAAATAGTGGTGAGTGTTGGGTCGCTGACTGAGCTGCACACACACACACACACACACACACACACACACACACACACACACACCATGTCCCCCCCGCCCCCCCACGGCATTCTCAGTGATGTTTTCCCACACTGTCAAGGACAAAGAAAGAATCTGAAGGGTGTTTCCGGCTGTGCCTTACACACTGTTTCATGTGATAAGTTTGGATGACTGAGGACAAGACCAAAGGGCCCCAACCGCCTGCAGAAACCACACGCAGGTCACTCACTTTCCCTCCGAGTGCTGACAGGCTTTCAGCTGAAAAGTCAAAACCCATGCAATAATCTTCACTTGCCAGGAAGTTCCTTCTTTTGTCTAACCATAAACAAACTGAGAACAAATGAATCTATTTTCTCCTCCTCTTCTTAGCTAATATCCCACTTTAACCCCTTGTTAAAAAAATTTGGGCCACAACAGCAGTGCTCAGGGCTTCCTCCTCACTTGGACTCAGGGGTCATTCTTGGTGATATTTGGAGACCCTGTGTTGAGGATCGAACCAGGTCAGTTGTGTACAAGGCAAGCTCCTTAACGGCTCTGTACTATATTTCTGGCCCTATGACTTAAACAAATTATTTTTATTTGTAGTTAGGTAAAATGTTACAATAGTATTAATGTGTTTTTTGTTGCTGTTGTTTTTGCTTTTTGGGTCATACCCAGCGATGCTCAGGAATCACTACTGGCAGTGCTGGGGAGACCATATGGGATGCTGGGGATCGAACCCGGGTCAGCTGAGTGCAAGGCAAACGCCCTACCCACTGCACTATCGCTCCGGCCCCAATGTTTTTGGTTTTGATGTACAGTTATTATATCTACACCATCTCCATCTCCAAAGTGCCCTAATCCTGTCAGTGACCTTTTGTCACATCTAGTCTGCCACTCCTCCCTGCTGACCCCCACTGCTCGGTAATCTGAACGCAAAATCTAAAGTGAAGGGATGGTCATTGTTTCATACCATCCACTCCTTATTTTTCTTTTCTATATGCCAGAGACAAGTCCTGGCATATACTGTCCTTCTCCCTCTAACTCATTTCACTTGGCACAATACCCATCAATGTCATCTCAGTTGTAGCTAACTGCAAGATTCCATTTTGTGTTGTAGCTGAGTATTGACTCAGTGCTAATACTGAGGCAAATAGAATTTGACTATATATATATACACACATATATATGTACATATATACATATATAGTCAAATAGAGTTTTACTGTTACAGATAAGGCTTGCACATATATTATATAATGCATGCATGTATTATATGTATATGCATATATACCCATCATATGCATATGCATATATACCCGTATTGCTCCAAGGCCCATATGTGGTGTCCGTTATTGAAACCAAGTCAACCACATGCAAGGCATACCTTACCAGCTGTACTATTTCTCCGGCCCCTCTGTTCTTTTGGATATATATCATTCTTGCTATTATGAGGTAATATCTCATTGTCATTTTGATTTGCATAATAACTCAAAATGAACACTTTTTCTTATGCCTACTGGCCATCTGTATGTTCTTCTCAGGAAGGTATTTATTCATCTCCTCTTCCCATCCTCTGATGTGTTATTTTATTGTTGTCATTGAGATTTGTGTATTATATATCTTGGATATTAGTTCTTTATCTGATGTATCCCAACTGCAACCCTTGAGAGACACCAAAGTTATCTTTAAGTCAGTTCTAGCCTACTCTGACATTATGAAATTTATAGATTTCATCTTGCGTGACATTATGAAATTTATAAATTTCACCTTGTTGCTTGCAGTGTGTAATTCTTAGTTATTCAGCCTGATGATCACTTTGGGTGGGTCTGGGCTTAGGAAGACAAGCTTAGAATGCATTCTTGAGAAGAGAGAACCTGGTTCTTTTGCCAGGAAGAGGATCAGGAAAGACTTTGTCAGTCTCTCTGAATCCCCGTGGCCATCAGTAGAAGAATGACAAACTTGAGTATTTCGCAGAGAGCTGGCTTCCGCCAGTGAGAACTCTGTGCTTTTCTCCACTCCGCTGTAGCTCACCTAATCTCCGCATTGTCAATTCCAGGATGTGAAAGTGCTCTGCAAGCAGTTGGCAGGGTCTGGTCTAGAACAAATGGACATTCCCCTCAGCAGTGGTCTGGATGACATCCTTGAGGCAATCAGAATTCACTTGGAGAGAGACATGGAAAAGAACCAGGTGGAGGCAGGAGCCTTCCTCCGTGCCAAGGTAGGAGGCAGAGCCTGCACCCGCCATCTGTCCTGGGCAAAAGGAGACAAGAGAAGAGACAGAAAAATAGTGTGCAAAAGAGGAAATGCGACTGTTTCCATCTCATTAGGCACCAAAGAAAGACAATTAAAATTATATTTTACTTACCTATCTAAAATCAAAAACAAAAATTATTTTCATGGTTGTCATATGTGTGAATTAGGTTCTGTCCTATATTCTTTTTTTTTTTTCATTTTATTTTATTTATCTCTTTCAAGATTTATTCAGGAGTCTCTGGATCAAGGCTGGTAGTTGTGCTTATATGGCGGCAGTGAGATGTGGGAGTGGGGGTTTCCGGAAGTACAGAGAAGTGGGAGGAGGTTGCCCATCCCAATTCTGAGAAGTCCTGGAGTTTGCAGCCAAAAATGAACCTGTGTACCTGAAATTTTGGACAGATTAGGGTCTATATGACGCTCACCTGAGGTGGTAGAGTCTGGCCAAAGGCATGGCGGTGGCTTTGGGGTATGGGTGTGGCTGCTGGGGCTTTGGTTGGGCAGATGTCCTGTACTCCTTTTTTTTTTCTTTTTGGGTCACACCTGCTGATCCTCAGGGGTTACTGGCATGCTCAGGGGACTGTATGGGATGCTGGAAAGCGAACCTGGTTCATCCACGTATAAGGCAAACACCCTACCAGCTGTGCTATCACTCCAACTCTGTCCTATACTCTTTTTTTGTTTTGTTTTGTTTTGTTTTGTTTTCTTTCTGGGTCACACCTGGCGATGCACAGGGGTTACTCCTGGCTCTGCACTCAGGAGTTACTCCTGGCGGTGCTCAGGGGACCATATGGGATGCTGGGAATCGAACCCGGGTTGGCTGCATGCAAGGCAAATCCTATCCGCCGTGCTATTTCTCCAGCCCTCCTCCCCCCGCCCCCATACTCTTGACGATCACAAACTAACACAATGAACTGAGCACCTTTAATGCTCCAGCTTGCCATTTGAATAATCTGCCATTCTAGCCCTAAGAAATCATTGAGAATACAAATAAGGTTTACATCCAAATAAACTCACTAAAACATTCATTGTAGGAGCAAAAACGTTTGTGAGGAAAATATGCAAATGTTTCCTAGTAGAAAAACAATTAATTTACAACCTAACCGTTATTAGAAATGGTATTCATGAATCACTTTGAACAACATGGAAAATATTTATGCTAAAAACTAAAATGGGGAAAGTGGAGTACAGAATTATATCGACCATAGGTTAACAAAATTTTTTATAAAGGATCAGATAGTAAATAGCTGCTTTTCCTGGGTGATTACTACTATTAAGCTCTACCACTGTGTGTAAAAGCAGCTCTGAGTGGTAGATAGCAAATGAGAATGGCTGCATTCCAATAAAATATAAATTATGTATGTGCCAGAGAGGTAGTATAGCAGGTAGGTCACTCGTCTTGCTTAAAACCGACCCTGGTTCGATCCCTGCTACCACATGGTCCCTGAGCCTCACTAGGAATAATTCCTGAGCACAGAACCAAGATTAAGCCATGAGTACAACCTGTATGTGCCCCCACCCTCCAAAAAAACATTCTTTACAAAAAACAGAATGTCAGGGGATCTTGCTCTCAGGCTACAATTAGCCCATGTGGGTATATACAGTGGGATAAAGCATTCAAACAAAGAAATTCATAATCAAGAAAAGATTGGAAAGAAGCATTAAAATATTAGTGCTGGGGGGCTGGAGCACAGCCGGTAAGGCGTTTGCCTTGCACGCAGCCAACATGCCCAACACAGGTTCGATTCCCAGCATCCCATATGGGCCCCCGAGCACCGCCAGGAGCAATTCCTGAGTGAATGAGCCAGGAGTAACTCCTGAGCATCACTGGGTGTGACCCAAAAAGCAAAAAAAAAAAAAATAGTGCTGGGGGATGGAACAATAGCACCGTGGGTAGGGCTTTTGCCTTCACGCAGCCGACCCAGGTTCGATTCCCAGCATCCCATATGGTCCCCCGAGCACTGCCAGGAGTAATTCCTGAGTGAAAGAGCCAGGAGTAACTCCTGTGCATCTCCAGGTGTGACCAAAAAGAAAAAAAAATAGTGCTGTTCACTGTTATTGTCCTTGAGTAATGAATAATGTACTTGACACTTTGCTTTTTTCGGGGGGGGGTCACACCTGGCGATGTACAGGGGTTACTCCTGGCTCTGTACTCAGGAGTTACTCCTGGCGGTGTTCAGGGGACCATATGGGATGTTGGGAATCGAACCCAGGTCGACCGCGTGTAAGGCAGACGCCCTACCTGCTGTGCTATCTCTCCAGCCCCCTGTACTTGACACTTTGATATAATTTTTTTTCTTCTTATTTCTCAAGTTTTGCTTAAGTACTATGAATTATATTCATGGACGAAAAACAAACTTTTATTAAGTCTCGTAAAAAGTAAAGGAATTAGCTCCTTCCTTTCCCTGAAAATTGGAAGCTGCAAAGTCTTGACTCTTTCATTCTCTCTCACCCACTCATGACTTTGGAATTTTGAGGCAGGAGAAGAAGCAAAGCCAGAGGGAGAATGGAAAGTCCCTTCCTGAGAGCACTGTGGGATGCCCCCGTGCTCGGTTCCCACTCAGTGACTCAGCCAGTGGCTGCACAATCCAATTATTTCCATGCACTTTGCAAAATGCTCCTGTGCAAGTCCCATCCAAGACCAATTAACTCAAAAGATGAGAGGAACTTGGTGGTTTTTTGAGCTCCCTGGATGATTCTACTACACAGCCAAGGTTGAGATCCACAAGAAAAACTGCCAGAAGAAAACCTCTGATGTTCTTCCTTCTACTGGGAACCCTCAGTTCCTTGCACCTAACTATCAACAGGAAGCTTCCTGGCAGGGTCTTCCCCCAATTCTAGGTCCCCAATGCTTTCCAGCCCAGAAAGGATGGCGATTCCTGTATTTCTCCACCCTATCTATCCTCTTTTGACAGTTCCCTTTTTATTTGTTTTTGTTTGTTTTTTTTTTCTTTTTGGCTCACACCCAGAGATGCACAGGGGTTACTCCTGGCTCTGCACTAAGGAATTACTCCTGGTGGTACTTGGGGGACCATATGGGATGCTGGGAATCAAACCCAGGTTGGCCGCATGGAAGGCAAATGCCCTACTCACTGTACTATTGCTCTAGCCCCCAGTTCTCTTTTTCTTAACAACTCTTTGGGTCAAGCCCCTACAAACACTTTTTTGATTTTTGTTTTGTTTTGTTCTTTTTTTTTTTTTTTTTTTTTTTTTTGGCCACAGCCAGTGATAGTCAGAGGTTACTCCTAGCTCTTGCTCAAGGATCACTCCTGGAAGGGCCAGGGGTACCATCTAGTGTGCCGGAGAATCAAATCCAGGCTGGGTGTGTGTAAAGCAAGTACCCTACCCATTTTACTGTGGCTCTGGCCCCACTACAAACACTTTTGATGGCGAGACTTGCCTAGTGACTCCACAGTATGTGGCAACCTAGACCCCAACCTGGTGGAACTGGAAAAAAATAGAAAGTAAAGGAAGCCAAGTATAGATTTGATTCGGTCCTTTACTTCTTAGAAGATTCGTGAATGATGAGTGACCTAAAACCCCACTGCCTTTACTTTTGAGGTGAAGAACCGGAGCCCAAAAAGGCAGCTGGCTGCCTGGAACAACTTCTCAGTAGTACCGTAGTCACTCAGCACTCCTGGTTCTCTATTCTGGAATCTTCTCTCAGCAGGGGACTCGTGCTTCTCCTGGGAGCCTCTCCCAAAGCTAAATCCTTATGACCTGTGGTTTGCCTACCAGTTCTGAGGCTAGCACTGCATTTAGTGGTGATTTCTTGGGGAGAGGGTGGAGTCATTACAATTAAGAGAAATAACTGTATAATGTGAAACAGGAACAGTCAACTTGGCCCACAAGATTCATCCCTTGCTGTCTTGAGAATTGTCACCAGCCCCACAATAATTCAAACATTAATTCTGAGCAGAGTTATTAGTGTTTTGTAACAGAGTAATCTAAAAGCCACATCTCAGAGAAAACAGACAGGACTTGTTTTAATGTAGCCAACACTGTCTAGGCCTCTTGGAGAGAGTTGGAGCTCAGGAAATCTTTGCAGAATGAGTTAATTCCTCTGATCATCAACAAGATCAGAACTGACAGCCGGACATCCAACAATAAATAGTTTTGTCGGTTGTAGGCATGCCCTCAGGGGCTGACTTTGGCCTATTCTGAGTACCTCTTGTCAGTTTCTTGGAGACTAAGCATAAATGTGAACTGGCTTAGCACACACACTGCTTTGAAACCTTTTGCATAGAGAACACATCTAATTACCTTTCATCCAGGGAGGCTGGAAATTAATTGTTGTGATTAATTTGTATCTTCATTTAGCATCCCCAAGAAAGAGATCCTGAGACAAATATTGAAGTAAAGGAGTTTGCTTGAAATTTGGGAGATGGTACAGAGGCACAGAATACCAAGAGAGAAGATGCAGAGGAGAGAACCAGCAAAAAAATGCCTCACCCAACCAGCTACCCCAGGGACAGTGCAGCCACGGGGTTCTGGGCAGCAGAAAAGAGAAAGGAGGGGAGCAAGGGAGGAAGAGGAGGAGTAATGCCGTCTCTCACAGTCCTCTGGTGTCCGTAACAGAGTAGCCTTTCAAAGACCTCAGAGGGGCTGGAGTGATAGCACAGCCGGTAGGGTGTTTGCCTTGCACGCCACCAACCCGGGTTTGATTCCCAGCATCCCATATAGTCCCCCGAGCACCACCAGGAGTAGTTCCTGAGTGCATGAGCCAGGAGTGACCCCTGTGCATCTCCATGTGTGATGCTCCCCCACAAAAAAAAATCAAAGATTTCAAAGAACTGTCTCAGCAAAGACCTACAGAATCTGGCAGTGGGAAGTGAGTGAGACAGAACTAAGCTGGTGAACCCAGTGGTGGTAGAGATAAAGCCGTGTGCCACCAGCATCTGCTACCACTTACCTGCCACCTCTTTTGCTTTGTTTTTTGGTGGTGGGTGGGGAGAGGGTCGATTTTTG